AAATAAATGTTTATCAAATAAAGTCTAATGTTACAACTAATCAGGGATCCTTTTAATGGTTCAATCAAACAAAAAAGCAGTTTGGATCAAAAAAAAATTCAACCAATCTAAAAACATTTTTAACCAATCAAAAAATATTTCAACCAAAGAAAAAGGCTATTTCAACCAAAGAAACATTTTTTAATGGACTGTACTTATATGGTGCCTTTCTATCCATCCAGGACACTCAGAGCTCTTCACACTACAATCTGTGTCCTCATTTATCCATTCACACAGCACTCTGTTAGGTCTCTACAGATCAAACTTATACAATCATCTATGGAGACTAATCAGTGGTTTAAATCACCCCCAATGCCTCTGATGTGTGTCCCATCAGGGTATGAATGTGGTGTCTTGCCCAAGGACACACCAGAGACAGCTAGAATAGGGGGTGGAACCAGCGACATACCAGTTCCAGGACAACTCTCCTAACCACTCTTCCACAGCTGCCCCAAACAAAGAATTAAATAAAAATGTTTTGCAAAACAGAAACTTTGTTTTCGCATGTCAGAAATGTTTGGTTGAATCTCAAAAAATTTTTGAACTCGGAGAACATGAACATCCGGGGCGGGGCCTAAGGACAAACTATCTAGAAGCATGGTATCCGCGGGGTTGTAAAAAGTATTAAAAGGTAGTAAATCAAATAAGCAAAAATTAAAGCCATTAAAAAGTATTAAAAGGTAATAAATGCCATCTGACGAGGTATTAATTTTTAAACATCTAGCGCACTTTCGCCATGCTGGAATCTGATGCGCTGCTTTGAAAACAGATTTAACAAACATTTCTCTGGCCCAATCTGAGACGCAGCTTTAATTTTAGACAGGCCTATTAGCCAATCAGAAACTGTGTGGGGGCGGGACTTAAGTGTCTCTAGTAGCAGAAGTTGGAGCGGTGTTTTAAATAAAACATATTTGTCAGGACACGTCTGAAAAAGAACAGGAGACGATATCAAAGCTGGATGATTGTTAAAAGTCAGAAAAGATAAACCAGCAGAAGGATTACTGACTCCTCCCCATGAGAGGAGCCGTGTGTCGGTGGATGCTAGCTTTAGCTAAAGTTAGCTGGAGCAGAGCGGAGAGGAGAGAGGAGCAGACAGGTGCAGCAGGTGAGGAGATTAAAGTGATGACTTTTATAAGAATGACCCGGGAGATAACATCAATCAACAGGTGTGTGTTTACTGGGACAAACTGACACAAAACAGTTATATTTGTTTGAACTAAACAAAAGTAAATTAAAGTTGTGTTTCAGATTTTTTTGTCATTGTTTTTCCCCAAAACTCTCAGGGAGGACATTCTGTATGAAGATGTCAGTTTTATGTGTTTGTAGATAAATATGAGCTAATTTAAATCCTACACTGTGTTAAAGGGTTTTGGGAATTTGAGCTAAATTGTTTATTTGGGACTTTATGTAAATTAATGCAGGATCACATGAAACATAATTTACAGTTCTCACGTAGATTCTGTTGATTTGGTTTGTTTTGTAAGGTTTTATTATTTTCAATCGTAGTTTTTAATTAAAAGTATTTTTAGCTACAAGAAAGTTTATAAATTGGGATTTTTTTTTTTGCAGTTTTGATAAATTTAAAAGGCGATATTTGAAAGCTATTGCAGGTAACCCTCTGCTCAGTATGAAAAAACTGAAAATTGATTTTTTTAAAAGAAGTTGATGAATCCTTTACAGTCATTCTTTAGCTGGTATTGTCAATGTATATGCAGGTAAAAGATGGTGATTGTGAGGGTAAAACTGTGTAGTGGTGGTGGGGTTCATTCTCATGTTCAACAAAAGTTTTAATACATGTTTTAAAAATAGATGGACACACAGATGTTATGGTTCTGTGACATGTGAGTTCCTGGGATGTGTGAGAGCAGATGACCTGTTGCAGGTCATGGCACTGCTCTTCTTACACATAATGAAAACACTTGCCTTGAATTTAGGGTTAAATAACAAATATATGAATCAGTGTTTCATTAAGGCAAAGAAGTAACTATGTATCCAGTAACTTTAATAATAGGTTGAAGCAGTTGCCGTTACAGTTTCAACCTAAAGTCGTGTTGGTATTAAAAAAAACATTGGGATGGTATTAAAAAGGTATAAAAAGGTATTAAATTTAACTTCAGAATTTCTGTATACACCCTGAGAACGTGTCCCTACGAAACTATTTATTTATTTATTTTGGTTTGGTTGAAATTATTATTTTGATTGAATTTTTTTTTTTTTTTTTGATTCAGCCAGTCTTTTCTGGTTTGTCACAAAAAGAGAGGTAATCTTGTCTAAACTGTAAGTTGTTTCAAAAGTAAAGATTCAAATAAAATGATAAAAGAGTAGTCATGTACTCCTATGATGGCCTAATTTCACAGTTTGAGAACCTCTGTGTTAACGTATGGAGTTTATTACAGCTTGGCCATAAATCTGTGTGTTGTATCTGATAACTGTTTGTGGATGTTGTTAAGGCATGAATCAGTTCAATCAGATGGGAATGCAGTCTATGGCTCAGAGATCCACACCTCCTCTCCCCATGGGAACACCCCCCAACCAGGTCAGTACCCAACGCAAAACCTTCTTTCCACAACTGAAAACTCAGAACCCCACTATTAGTTCTAACTCGGCACCAACTACAGTGGTTTGCAAAAGTATTCATACCCCTTGAACTTTTCCATATTTTGTCACATTACAACCACAAACATAAATATATTTCACTGGAATTTAATG